GGAGCTTAACCAGAGAATGGCGTCCCACCCGATCACGAGGAGATCATCATCCGAGATGAGTCACTATTGGCTGTACAAAATCTCTACCGGATCGGACGGAGTTAGGAGCTTAACCAGAGAATGGCGTCCCACCCGATCACGAGGAGATCATCATCCGAGATGAGTCACTATTGGCTGTACAAAATCCGAAGGATGCACACTCCTATTCTCGGCCCAAGCCACCCCTTACTCATGCTAAATCTCGAGCTCTTCGGCTCACTCTCATTGCTATCATCAATCGAGCATTATGTGGTCCACAGAACGAAGACACTTACATCCCGTTTCTAAGATCAAGCAAGGCACGAAATATCTCCATATACCAAGTTTAGGAGTCTTCATCTTCAAGGCAATTTTCGTGGGAAGCTTCTTGAGTTGCAAGCAAAGTTCCAACAGCTATAATCTTCCCAACCACCTCATTAATTGCTAAAAGGCTCCTACCCCTTTGCATGTTCTTTTGTCATTAATTGCTATCCAACTCTATCATCTATTTAAACTATGTTAGAACTCATTTGTAATCAGATTTTTGAAGATGAATTAAGTAATTTCGAGCTTGCCTCACTCTCTTGTTGGTGTGTCCGACATTCTTTTCGGTTTGTCCGAGAAATCCCGTCTTGGTTTGTCCGAGGCTTGTCTTGGTTTGTCCGAGACCCTATCCTTCGTTCTCCATCCATCTCTTGACTACGATTCGAATTCGAGAGCCTCTACGAGTGCCGGTGATTGAATCAAAGTCCCGCAGCCTTATCCTTTTCGGTCCTTCTCCAACCATCGTTCGAATTCGAGTGCCTCCACGAGAGTGCCGGTGATCGTTCACGGATTATCTCCACCTCCTCCGTGCGTGTATCACCTCGTGTGAGCGAGACTGTAGAAATGTGTGGCCGCACTATAGACGAGCGTCGTCTATTTCAGACAGTCGAACTCAGTGAATGATCACTTCTCGTTTGTTTGACAGCGAAATCGTGGAGCAATCAGCCCCGAAAACTCACCTACATCGCACGCTAAAGCTCTCCACCTCGGTTGTTTCGTTCCTCTTTTTACTTCTTTCGATTTCGTTGATTGCACGCCAAGTGTTCGATTGATTGCACCAAAAATCTGTTTGTTGTTACTTGGTTGAATATGTGTGTGGAATAGGATCAAGTACACGTTTTGATTACTTCACCTACTGTTCTAATACTTGTTTTTGGTTGTGTTAGTGTTTCTTACACGATCTGATTCTCCTCTGTTTCCGTTTCTGATTTTTGATTGGATTTTGGACAGAAATCTTTCAATCGAAAAATGCTGGAAAATACTTATCTTTATTAAAAACTTCATACATACATTTATATTGTTCAGACATGAGTGTTTCTTACACGATCTGATTCTCCTCTGTTTCCGTTTCTGATTTTTGATTGGATTTTGGACAGAAATCTTTCAATCGAAAAATGCTGGAAAATACTTATCTTTATTAAAAACTTCATACATACATTTATATTGTTCAGACATGAGTCATTACACATAAAACTAACTTCTTAACTGCTATTATATAACTGCTTCAGAACCAGAAACTTAACTGTCTTCAAACTTATCCCAACGTAACTTTGTCTTCTGCAATGTCTTGAGCCATCTCTGTCTTCAGACTAACATGCTCCTCCTTGGCTTAAGACTTTGTCTCCATGCCAATCATGTTCCGCATCATTTCAAACCTGCCTGGTAGAAAAGCTTTGGTAAACAAATCTGCCTTTTGATCTTGCGAACTGCAATACTCTAGCTTGACTTCACCATCTTCTTGTGCTTCCCTGAGAAAATAATACTTGATTTTAAAATGCTTAGTCTTTCCATGGAAAACCGGATTATGAGCTATGGCAATCGCTGCTTGATTGTCAACCCAGATCTTGGTTGGTTCCTTGCTCACGATTGAGAGGTCACACAGAATCTTCCTCAGCCAAATTGTCTGGTTTGCAGCTTCTGTTGCAGCAATGAATTCAGCTTCTGCTGTGGATTGTGCAACAGTTCCCTGCTTCTTCGAGCTCCATGAGAAAATGGCTGTGCCCAGTGTAAAACAGAACCCCGAGGTACTTTTCATATCCTCGGTTGAACCTCCCCAATCGCTGTCAACATACCCTTCTAGAACCAGTTTTTCGACTGAACTGAATTTCAATCCATAAGTCTTGGTTCCTTTCAAATATCGCAGTATCCGCTTTGCTGATACAAGATGCTCCTTCTTTGCGCAACTCAGATATCTGGACAATGTATTGACAGCATAGAGAATGTCAGGTCTCGAGGCTGTCAAATACATTAAACATCCAATCAAACTTCTGTAAACTCCTTCGCTACCAGCTTCACTTTCTTCAAATTTCTGTATTTTCATCTTCTGATCCATTGGAGTCTTCATGATCTTGCATTCTTCCATGTTGAACCTTCTCAAAATCTGATTCAGATACTTTTGCTGAGTGACAAAGATACCCTTATCACTCTGCGATATTTCCAAACCAAGGAAATGTGTCATCAGTCCGAGATTTGTCATCTCAAACTCTTTACCCAGCAGATTCTGTAGTTCTTCAATCTCAGTCGTGTTCTCTCCAGTGACCAGCAAATCATCCACATAGAGAGACACAATCACCAATCCCGCTCCTTTCCTTATGTAGAGTGTGTGTTCACTGTGACTTCTGGCAAATTTCAGTCCTTTCAAACACAAATCTATCCTCTCATACCATACAAGGCTTTCTTTAATAAATATACCTTATCCTCAGCTCCCTTTTCATAGAATCCTTCTGGTTGCTCGACATAAGTTTCCTCTTTCAGATCACCATTTAAAAAAGCAGATTTCACATCCATGTGGAACACTTTCCACTTCTTTTGTGCCGCCAATGCAAGCAGAAGTCTGATTGTATCCAACCTCGCCACTGGTGCAAACGTTTCTGAGAAATCAACTCCCCAGACTTGTGAATATCCCTTAACCACGAGTCTGGCCTTGTGTTTGTTGACAGTACCATCGGGATTCAGCTTTGTCTTGAAGACCCACTTTACCCCTATGACCTTCTTATTCACTGGTCTGTCAACAAGTACCCAAGTTCCAGTTTTGTTTATCATCCTTAGCTCTTCTTCCATAGCAACAATCCATTTTTATCAAACTTTGCCTCTTCAAACGTAGCTGGTTCAAACACAGCTATGTTACACCTCTCATAGACATCCTGTAGAGATCTAGTTCCTCTGACAGGAATGTCATCTGCATCTTCAGAAATCTCCTCCTGTTGTTCCTGTCCTCCAACAGGTACTTCTCCTCCTAGTACCTGAACATCTTCTCCTTCAGGAATTTCAGAGTTTAATTGGTCTTCATTTGTTCCAGACCAATTCCACTCATCATTTTCCAGAAACTTAACATCTCTACTTACCACAACCTTGTTCAAATCTGGTAAGTAGATCCGATAAGCCTTGGATACCAAACTATATCCAACAAATATACCAACATCTGACTTTCTGTCCAACTTATCACGCTTAGCTTCAGGTACAAATGAAAAACATAGACAACCGAACACCTTAAGATTCTCACAGGTTGGTTTCTTACCAGTCCATGCTTCGAAAGGTGTTAGTTTATGCACAGCTTTCGTGCTCAACCTGTTCAGGAGAAACACAGCCGTATTGGACGCTTCTGCCCCAAACATCTTTGGCAAGTTCTTTTCGTACATGAGACATCTGGCCATTTCCACTATTGTTCTGTTTTTCCTCTCACTTACCCCATTCTGTTGAGGAGAATAAGGTACTGAGAATTGATGTTTGATTCCAGCTTGCTCACAAATCGACTTGAACCTGCTAGACGTATATTCAGAACCATTATCAGATCTGATCATCTTGATTCTTATCCCACTTTCATTTTCAACTTCGTTCTTGAACTTTTCAAAGATTCCATCTGCTTCTAGCTTATGCTTCATGAAATATATCCAACACATTCGAGTGAGATCATCAATAAACGATATAAAGTACTTGCTACCTGTAAGAGATTGCACCGGCATTGGACCACACACATCTGTATGGTTCAATTGCAGTTTCTCTGTAGCTCTCCACTTCGATGAATTGAATGGTAACCTTCTGTGTTTTCCCAAAGGACATACCTTGCACACAACAGTATTCTGACTCTGTGGCAAACCTGTCATCATTCCATTTCTGATCATGTATGTGATTCCTTCGTCATGAAAGTGTCCAAGTCTTTTGTGCCAGAGTTCATCATCCGACACTTGAGACTTCATCGCTTTCGATGCAGCAGATTCAAGCGTGAATGAGAAACTTCTATCTCTCATTCTGATCTTGAACAATGTCTGATGAGTGTCATTTCCTATGACACATTCCCCTTTGTCGAAAACAACCTTGTACCCCTTCGAAATCAACTTAGGCACACTCAGCAAATTCTGATCAATCCTTGGAACAAACAATACATCTGATAAAACCTTCAATCCATCTGCAATTTTGATTTCAACATCACCTTTTCCAACTACGTCAATGAATTCCCCATTACCAATCCTCACCTTTGATCTGAATGACATATCCAGATTCTTGAACAACTTCCTATCTCCAGACATGTGGTTAGTGCAGCCACTATCCACTAGCCATCCGTTCTTGACTGAGTTAGAGGCAAAGCATGAAGCCACAAATAGGTTCTCGGCCTCTCCTGTTTCTGCAGCTTTCGCTTCAACATTTTGCTGAGACCTTTCTCTGCAAAACCGCTCTATATGACCCAGTTTATTGCATCTTCTACACTTGACATTTGGATTTTTCTAGCATCTCCAATGAGGGTGATTTCTCTTGTTGCAATGCTTGCAAGGTTCAAAAGAAGTTTGGCTCGTATTTGCTTCAACACTTCCCTCAGTCTGTTTCTGACTTCCTGTTTCCTGATTCTTCTTCTTCTTTCCCTTCTGAGCCCCTTTTCCTTTGGCCTTGGCACTCAAAGCACCTTCGACAGATTCCTCACCCCTCATCTTCCTTCTCTGTTCCTAGGCTTGTAGAGCACTAAGAACTTCAGTAAGTTTGAGTGCTGATAGTTCTTTTGTGTTCTCAAGTGTGGCTATGGTAGCCTCAAACTTTTCAGGAACAGAAACAAGTATCTTCTGCACTATCTTATCGTCCTTGACATCTGTCCCGAGAATCCTCACATTATTGATTATGTTAATGAACCGATCAGCATAATCTTTAATGGTTTCATCTCCTTTCATTTGTTGTCTTTCGAAATCACGGAGAAGATTCAATACCTTCATACTCCGAACTCTCTCGTCCCCTTCATATTCCTTCTTGAGAAAATCCCACATTTCCTTTGCTGATGTTAATTTCATGATCTTGATTAGGATTGTGGGAGAGACTGCATTGAATATACTCGACTTGGCCTTTGCCTTCTTCGTGGTCCTCTCCTTGTGGTTCCTAATCTGCGCCACTGTAGGATTTGCGGTCAAGGGAGGAATCTCATAGTCTTCTTCCACAGCTTCCCACAGATCCATTCCTTCGAGATAAGCCTGCATCCTCGCTGCCCAGACTGGATAGTTATCTCCATTAAACACGGGTGCAGACTGTATGGGATTCGAGATGCTCAAAGATTCTGTCTGATCCATGATAACCGCTGCAACTTCAACACATTCAGGTCCCGTAAAGATCCTTAAGATGCTCTGATACCACTGTTTCTTACACGATCTGATTATCCTCTGTTTCCGTTTCTGATTTTTGATTGGATTTTGGACAGAAATCTTTCAATCGAAAAATTCTGGAAAATACTTATCTTTATTAAAAACTTCATACATACATTTATATTGTTCAGACATGAGTCATTACACATAAAACTAACTTCTTAAATGCTATTATATAACTGCTTCAGAACCAGAAACTTAACTGTCTTCAAACTTATCCCAACGTAACTTTGTCTTCTGCAATGTCTTGAGCCATCTCTGTCTTCAGACTAACAGTTAGCTTGTACGAAGATCTGATCGTGTTCTCGTTTGTGGTTGCAAAACGTTATTGTCGATAATCGTCCGCATTGTTGCTTGAATCGTCACTTGTTGAGTATTGCATGAATTATCTACTGTGATAACTTCGAGGAGCCTGTTTCATTCCGTGTTTAAATCATCTTTGATTGCATGTTGTTTGAACCGTGAGTGACAGCACGTTCATTGCTTTTGTCGGTTGCACGTTGTTGATCACATACCGTTTGCTGCACGTCGATATCTATTGCTCGCTGTTCGAATCTGCACGTTTAGAGCTGTCTGACATCTTGTCTAAAACTCGTTTGCCTGCCATTTCGGAGATTTCATAACTTCTTAATAATAATGACTAGCGAAAGGGTTAACAACGAGTCTCCGAAAGGAACGATGCTTCAAATGTTACAACAGATTCAAGATCGCCTCATACGACTTGAGCAGGAGACCCGACCCATAGAATCTTCGAGGGCTTCAAACCACCGTCCGTATCATGAACTAAGGGCTGGTCGGAAATCTAAGCCGTCCCTGTTTACAGGAGAGGAAAACCCGGAAGTTTATCTCAAGTGGGAGCGGCAAATGAATGACATCTTTGGGTGTTACTCCTGGTCGAACCAAAGAAAAGTCCAATACGTGGCTGCCCATCTTGCGAAGAATGCTCTCATGTGGTGGGAACAAAAGGAGATCGAACACCGACGAGCACATTATGATCCAGTTTCCACTTGGAAAGAGATGAAAATCCTCATGCGGAAAAGGTATGTACCCCGACATTGTCTCCTGAATTACAATATAGATTTGATAACATCATACACGGAGACACAACGGTTGAGGACTACTACAGAGAATTTGAGCAGCTCGTTGCATACTTAAGAATCGACAACGATGAAAAAAGTCTCATGGTGCACTTCCTAGGGGGCTTGAAAGACCGAGTCGCTAGAAAGGTAAAACAAAAAGTATACCGTGACTTGGAGCATCTTATGCATACG